GCCGAGGGCACCGAGCCCCCCGCGGCGCCCGCCATGGGCCCCTCCGCCTCGGAGCAGGACCTGGCCGGGCGCAAGCCCCCGCGCAGCCCCCGGCCGTCCAGCCGGCCCCGGCAGCGGGCAGCCGGACGACACATCATCCAGATCGAGACCGCCGAGGACTGGACGGCCGAGGAGGGCTTCAGCACCAACGCGGACCCGCAGGCGCAGACGGCCATGTCGCTGCCCTACGTCCCCAAGGCGCAGACGTCCTACGGCTTCGCCACGCTGGTGGAGAGCCCCCACACCCGGCGCAAAGAGTCGCTCTTCCACAGCGAGCACAGCAGCCTCTGCCCCTCGCCGGCCACCTCGCCCAGCGCCCAGCGCAGAGCCAAGCTCAACGGCGAGGGCAGGCCCCGGGCCCCCGCCGACCTGGGCGCAGCCCTCATGCACCCCGGCCGGTACTTCAGCGGCGGCGAGAGCGACACGTGCTCCTCGGCCGAGTCCTCGCCCTTTGGCTCCCCGCTGCTCTCCCGCTCCGTCTCCCTGCTGAAGATCTTCAGCCAGGAGAGCCAGTCCAAGGTCATCAAGCTGAAGCACTCGGTGGCCCGCAACAGCTCCCTCTCCACCGACGACAGCTCTGCCGACACCAGCCCCAGCGCCCAGCGCCGCTCCAGGAGCGCCCCGGCCGGGGGGCAGCCCCCCGCCGCCCTCCTGCCCCTGGACCTGCCGCCGGGCCGTGACCGGGAGCACAGCCTGCGGCTGAGCCGGGGCGGCAGCCTGCGCCTGGCCGCTGAGTACGACCCCTCCAACGCCCGCCTGCGCGTGCGGCTCGTCTCCGCCGAGGACCTCTACGACGCCCTCGTCGACCTGCGCAGCATCAACTGCTGCGTCTCGCTGTGCCTCAACCCCGGGAAGTTGCAGAAGCAGCGCAGCACCATCGTCAAGAACAGCCGCAACCCCGTCTTCAACGAGGACTTCTTCTTTGATGGGCTGGGCCCTGGCCATGCCAGGAAGATGTCTCTGAAGCTCAAGGTGGTCAACAAGGGCAGCAGCCTTAAGCGGGACACGCTGCTGGGGGAGAAGGAGCTGCCCCTCACTGCCCTCCTGTCCTGCCTGTAGGCACTTGCTGCCCCCCTGGGGGCTGGGGTGAGGGCAGGGGGGGGAAGCCATGTCCCCCGGCCTCACTCAGGGGGGTTGGAAGGGCCCCTTGGAGGGGGGACGGGGCTGTGGCAGAGCATGGGGGTCCTCAGGGGTGGCGCTGCCAGCACCAGCCCTCCTGCAGTGGGGCAGGCAGGGCCAGCAGCCGCAGCCTCTCCCCTCTGCTCCCTCCTGGGGCTGCATCTCCTGGAGCACAGCAGAGATCCACTGGCCCCATCTCCACCGGGAAGGATGGATGTCACCTCCTGGGCTCTTCCCTCCCCAGTGCCCGTGGTCTCCAGCTGGCCAGCACAAAGGTTGGAGGTGGGTAGATCTCTGTAGCATTCTTTGTGCCACCGCTCTCAAAGTCCCAGCCCCTGGAGTCAGGTGATAGCATCAACCTCAGCTTTAACTTAAAAGACAAGTTTCTAGTCTTGGAAACTGCAGAGAAAATACTGCAGAGGTGACCCAAGAGTGGGCCAAGGGAGGTGACCCCGGGGATGAGTCAGGTTTGTGGGTTTTAAGCCTTTTCTGGGCTGTTCCCAGCCCTGCAGGACTGTGCAGATGCACAAGTTGGCTTGGTCCGACCTGCAGCTCTCGGGACACCCCCCTGCCCACCCCCAGCAGTGTCCCCACTGCTCACCCCCTGCGGGACACAGGGCCTGGAGCTTCAGGGGTGTTGGGTTTGCTCAGGTCCAGGAGGATCCCTTGCCCGTCCCCTGCCTGTGACAGGGAGGTGCTGGGGCTGGCACTGCCACGGGGGCGCCTGGCACCCCTCACCCTGGGCTCACGGGTGGTCCCAGGCAGTGTCCCAGCAGACGTGCTCGCTGACAAAGCTGGGGTGACAGGAGTAGCCCTCCCTGAGTGCTGGTGGCCTGGCTGGCACTAGGGACACCCCCAGGTGTTGCAGGGCAGGGGGGCAGGCTGTGGCTGAGGCCCCCCTGCCCTCGCCTATGGCGGTCGGGAGCGGCTGCACCCACCGAGAGGAGGGACGAGCCCCGTGGGGCCACAAAACCCCTGTGTCCAGCGGAACCCGGCTCCCCAGGGGACTGGCCTGGCTCTGCAGTTTCCCTCGGGGGGGAGCGGGGTGCTCCCACCCTTCCCGTCCCTCCCTGCCATCCCAGTCGATGGCTGGTGGCACCGGCAGCGGGGAAATGCCGGCCGGGGCACTTCCGCGGGGATAAAACCACCGCCCTGTTGTTGTTTGGTGTGGTGTTACCCATTGCATCGGGCCCTGCATGTTTCTGTGGAAGGGAGCGGGATTCGCAGCGCTCCCGTCCCCGCCTGTTGCTGCACGCGTGGACACACGCGCACACACGTGTCCCTCTGTGTTAACCTCTGTCGGTGGCAGTTGATGTTCCTTCCTTGTCCTTTGCAGCAGATGGCAGATTTCGGTGTTGGCTATTTATATCTGAGGCTGATCTTTCCCAGCGTGTTTTACTTCTGTCTGTAAATATGTTTCAGGTACGCGAGGCATGGTTCTGATAGCGCCGTGTTTGCATGTCGGGGGGATTTGGGGTGATTGTGGCTGTTTGTCGAGCTTGTGGCTGAAAACAAACCGTGCAGGACGTAAGGAGCAGACATGTCCCTCCTTCGTGGGGGATTTCCCACCTGAGGCTTCTCACCGCTCCCCCGGGAGCCAACACGGGGGACGCTCCCAGCCCCTGAGCCCAGACTCACCCTGGGGGCAGGTGGGGGCTCTGGGGAGGGTGGGACGGGGCAATGGGACACCTCCCTGGGCTGGGGGCAAACATCCTGCCCCTGAGCAGACCTGGGGCAGGAAGGGGACCCTCCCCAGGGTGCTGTGGTTCCCCAGGGTGCTGCACGTGCAAGGGGCTGGTGGGGCCCAGGCATTGCTGGGGGAGACCCAGCAGGCTGTGAGGGGAGGGGGAACAGGAGCTGGGCAAAGCTTTTGGTGCTTTATGAGGGGGTTGGGGGGTGACACGTCCCCCACGGCAGAGCTATGTGCCTTTGGGTTTGGGCAAGGGGGATGCTGAGAGCAGGATCCTGGGCTGCTGCTGGGATGGGGGCTGGCCCTGGGGGGGACCCAAGAGCCTGGGGGTTTGTGCTGTCCCCCCTGCCTGTCCCAGGGCTGCCTTGCTGGAGTCAAGTGGTGTGTGGCTGCCCTCCAAGCCCTGGGATGTGCTGCTGTGAGCCCCGCTCCCAAGGTGGGCAGGAGGGTGACGTGGGAGCTGGGACTGTGACCTGGCTGGGTCTTTTCTCTCCTGTAGCTCTTTTCTACTGTTCCTGCTTTTGATATTTCTGTGGCTGGATTTAATTATGCATTTTTGGAGTGAAAAAATATATTAATACCTGAATGGAATGTTTGTTTACAGATGACTTCCCCTTTTTAGTGCAATAAAGTAATTTCTAAAACAGATGCAGGTGGTGCCCTGTCTCCTGGTTTCCTTGAGGCGTTCCCTTTGCTTTTCATCTCTGGGGCTACAGCACACGCACACACCCCCCAGCCCCATTATCTTCCCCACCGGCCCCCCGTGCCATGGAGGGGTTGGGGAGCAGAGCTGCGACCCCTGTCCGGCCATGGAGCAGCCTTGCAGGGGCTGTGCTGAAGGAGAGTCCCTTCCCTCTTCCTCCTCCTCCTCCTCGCCGGCTCCCCTGGCCTGGCCCCTCTGCTCCTTCTTGGCAGCGCTGGTGATTAAGGATATGACGATGGTTTTGTGCTCCCCGTCAGCAGCGTGGGCTGGAGCGCTGCCCTCGGGGGGGCTGGATGCCCGGCACCCCCAGCTCCAGGGGGGCTCTGAGTTACAGGAGATTCTCGGGGGGCTCTCTGGGGCTCATCTGAGCTCTGCCCCCATGCCAACACCGGGGTGGCAGCCCATGCTGCCGCTCTCTGAGCATCACAGCCCGTTTCCCCACAGCGCCCAGCAGCTCAGCCAGCTCCTGTGCAGCGGCCGAGATCAGCTCCGGCAGCGTTTTGGTGTGAAAACCATCCTGACAGTTCCTGCCTGGCCGTACCCCCACCGCGGTGCTGCCGTGATGTGTCCCCCCAGGGCTCTACAGTGTGAGCGATGTGGGTGCCAGATGAGCCGCTCTCGGGGTGTACCCTGGACCATTCCCTCCCCTGCCCCCCCAGGGAGCCCCCCTGCCCGGCTGTTGGTGTTCAGCACATTTCCTGTTTTCTCCCCCACCTTCCATTTCAAAATCTGCCTTTAATCAGATGCCGCTGAAGAAAAGAGGGAGGTTACCTAAGTGCCATTTTTCTAATTTCCACCATTCTAATAATTTGTCATTTTTGGTAAAAATAAAGGCTGGGAGCACTAAACAGATCCGCCCTCTCTCCTCCTGCCCCCACAGGGGCAGAGAAAGCAGCATGGCGAGAGCTTCGCAGGTGCCAATAATTTAAGTAGTGCTTTTTCTAGAGGTGTAAAGCTACAGCAGTTAGCAATGAAATGAGACTGATTAAGTTACTCTGAACTCGAGTGGATGGGGTCAGTCTGAACACACGAAAAATCCCTGGAAAGTGTTCAACACTGGAAACACTGGAAGCAGCTGGAGGGGTGGAGAGGGGCATCTTGTGGGGGAAGATTTAACTCTGAATTTGTAATCTAGTCATTGTGGGAAGGAAACACGGTGTCTCTCTGCACCCGGGAGGGGCTGAGATGAGCCTCTGGATTGGAAGATGCTGGTGGTGGCCAGGGGGACCAGGGGGACATGTCCCCTCTCCCCGGCACAGTCCCTCGGGATGGAGGGTGCCCAGATGAAGCGCGGCCGTTGGCAGCTGCTGGGTGAGAGCTGGTGAGTGAGGGTGGCTCTGCCCTCGGGGTTGCGATGCCCACCCTGAGGGATGCTCCAGCCCCCGGGGCTTTCCCCTCCCAGGGGTTTCTCGGGCCAGGGGTCCCCAGGCTGCTGCAGCCACATGTGGGTTGTGCTGGAGGACGACACGGGTCCTGCCTGGGCAGCAGGATCCACGCAGGAAACTGAGGCGAAGGGGGAGAAACATCTGAGTGCGGAGGAGCTGGTGGCTCTGCTGCCTCCGTTACCCTTCTCCAGAGCAAGACTCACCTGGGTGAGACGCACACTCAGACCTCGGCTATTTTTAGTCCTGTGTTCCCACAATGCGAGGACTCAACTTCTGAGAAAATTGCCTGGAGCTCATTTAGCTGCGTGCGCGATGGCTGGTGAGGGAGGGACACGGCAAATTAGGGGCTCAGTTTCATAAGGGGTGTGCGGCGGGGCCAGCGCTCCCCAGGGAGGGATTCCCAGGGAGAAGGCCAGTGGGGCTGTCCCCGCGGGAGGACACCCTGCCCCTGCCCCGTCCCCCGGCCGGGCGGGGGGGTCCCAGGGCCGAGTGCTGTCCCTGGCTGGTGCTTGGGGTCCTTGGCAGTGGCTGGGGTCGGAGCCACTTTTGGCTGAAGGGGGCTGCAATGGCTGCTGCTCCTCCTCTCCAGATTTTTGGGCACTGTTGGGTCTGGGGAAGCTTTGAGTGCTCCCCCCGGGCAGCCCCAGCCCGGCCATATCCCTCCCCCACTGCGACCTGGCTGCCGATTTACCATTTTGGTCAGAAAAAGCATCTTCCCGTTGCCTGGCAACCCTCGGCCGCCTGGTCCAGCGGCGGGTGCGGGGCGGACGCTCTGCGGGGGGGTTCTCTCCTGCCCGCAGCCCCCACCGCGCCGGGGCCAGTGCGGGGGTGAGGGGCTGCGGGGGCTGCTCAGTGCTGGAGGGGGGCATGGGGTGAGCAAAGCCACCACAACATTTCCCATGCTCGGGGTCTGCACCGTGGCGCCAGCGCTGCCATGGCCCGGTGCCTCCCTGCTGTGCCCAGGGTGCGGAACCGGTGCCTGCCATGGGCTCCCCGCTGCCGAGCACAACCCACTGCCATCGAGACGGGTTCCCCCAGGACATGATTTACCAGCCCAGCAAACAGGCAACCGCATCTCCATCAGACAGCACAGAATACCTCTGGAGCGAGAGAAACCCAGCTCCCACCCGGGGTGAGACCCCCGCAGCCACCGCTGCCTGGCAGAGGGGTGACAGCCCTGTGGAGCTCAGCTGTGCCCACCTTGGTGGCAGCTGCCCTTATGGGCTCCCACCTCCCGGGGCAGCCACGGGGGCATCGAAAGTGAAATGGCCCCGTGCCCACTGCTGGCAGCCGGGGCTGCGCGGGGGTCCCGCTCCGGTGCCTGCCGGGTGCCCGCAGCGGCTCTGGGTGCCTGGGACTGTCTGGTGGGATGTGGTGCCGGTGGTACCGGGTGTGCAGCAGCGGGGGGTCAAGTGGCCCCAGGCAGGGGTCCCCGGCTGCACACGAGCATCGGCCTCACCCGGCACACACGCGCCTTCGCTTTATTGCAAGCATTTGTCTTCCATGGCAGCATGTCTGTTCTAAAGCGGGGGGGGAAAGACTCCCACTGTTACTGGGAGGAAAACAGAAGTTAATTGAATCCCACAATCCCTTGTAGCCACATCAGGCAAGAGAGAAAGCCGGAGGAGAGAGATTCCCCTACGCTGCCCCCAGGTCCTGCGCCCCAGGCTGGGCTCCGGTTGTGCCGCCTTGGCCAGTGGCCCGTACTCCTCCAGGGGACACGGAGCCCCCCAGGCTGGGAGCCCCAGGGACCTGGGACAACGTGCGGCTCCTTGTCCCCCGCAGCACTTGGCGTTTGAAGCAGCAGCCGCCGGCGGGGTGTCCCCAGGGCAGGCAGAGCTGCCTGTTACTGCCAGCCCCGGGGCGTGCACAACCTGTATTTTGCTTTTCCATTTCAGCTTTGCTCTCCTGCTTTGAGGCTGGCAACCTGACAAGGACCTGGGGCCAGGTCCTGCCTCCGGAGCCAGGGAAAGACAGCAGCAGGAGGTGCCGCCTTGGACTCTCCCTCCCCATCTCTCTGGCAGAGGAGAAATTACTGGGAGACCCCAGAGCCAGCGCAGTCTTGGCCCTGGCCCGGGGCCGGTGTACGGAGCCTGTGGCCATGGGGATGGATGAGGCTGAAGGCAGAGGCTGATTTGTGGGGTTAGGGATCTCTCCCGGTCGCTCCTCTCCCTCTCCAGCAACCTGCACTTCGCTAGCTGCCTGCTGGAGTTTTAAATGCTGCCTTTAAAATGGTTGCAAAATGTCCAAAGCATCAAATAGGCCCAGGTGGGAGGGAAAAAAAATGACATAAACAAAGCAAACAGGAGGATTTGTTGAACGCCAGCAGCTGCTGGCAAACACGTTAATGTCGGTGCAGACGGGCACCAGTCGATACGGCACCGGGGCCGGTCTCTGCTCTGTGCCCGGGGCTGGTTCCTGCGCAGGGAGGCTCTGGCCGAGCCCAGGGGGTCCAGCCGCGGTGGGGGGCACCGGGCCGTGCCTGGGTGCCAGGGCGGGAAGGGCTGGGAGACGCTCCGGGTGCCGTCCAGGGCTGAGCTCCATTCCTCCCGCTGCTTTCCTTCCCAGATCCCAAGGTCCTGGGGAGGGGGACACGTCTCCATGTCCCTCCCTCGGCTCTCCCAGGACGGTGGCAGCCCTGCAGCTCGTTGAGCATGTGCCAATGCCCCTGCCTGCTCCAGGGCCATTTGGCTCGGCCGGGCGCGAGCCAGGTGTGGGCCCACATCAGCCATGGCGGCTGAATCCACTGGGATCGGCTGGACGCGCCGCAGGGAGCTCGTCTGACATTGCCATGGCAATGGAGAGAGCGGCCGCTGCCAGGCAGAGCAGGGAGGGCAGCAGCTCGGGCAGGCTCAGCTCGCCAGCGAGATGCCACCAGCCGTGCTCGTCTGCGCCAGGCGCCCCAGCCCAGGGCCTGTCACCCCGACGTCCTCTGCCCCGTGACGGCCCAGACGGCAGCGAGCGCGTCCTCGCTGGGAGGGAAGCCCTCAGCACCCCCCCGCCCCCGCCAAAGCCAGCGTTTGCACTGGGCAATACAAAAAAATACATATTCGAAACCTCAGATTTCACCGCTGCCAGGTTATAATTAATTCCTATTTGCAGCTCAGTCCAATTTCCCTCACACGGCTCCCAATTCAATCCAATTGCCATATGAGATTTCTGTAATCACTAATCTTATCAAGCACATCAGTGTGAAGTGAGAACACTGCAATTAGCAGGAACAGGAGCAGCAGGTGAGCTGCCATTCGGCGAGTATTTATTTCACCTGTGCCAGGGGAGGATGAGTGCTTGGTTGAGGGCTTGCTGGGGCTGGCTCTTGCCCTGCCCCATCCCTGGGCTGGGTGGAGGGGGCTGTGGTGGTGTAGGAGGCACCAAGCACCAGCAACCACTGGGGAGAGAGCTCACCTCTCCTAGCCCCCCCATCCCAGGGAGCTGCTGGGGAACCGAGGGAACCAGGAGGATGCTGGTAAAGTGTCCTTAGGCAGCGCTGCCGGCACCGCAGCTTGTC